AGAGTGTTACCGATGATGACATCAGTCGAAGAATGTCCTAAGGTCGTCAAGATTAGGAAAGCAGGCGTATGTTTTCAAGAATTAATGAACAACAGAAAGTTAAAAAATACGGGAAGTCTGCTAGAGAAAAACAATAATTTGACGAGATTGAACAGCGAGACATTCTTACATCAATCTTTATCAAAGAGCTTTGATAAAGAAGAATATAATAGTCACTGATAATTTCTTCTGACAACATGTGTCCTCTTGATCTGAAGTATCAACTTAAGAAATAATGATATATAATTTATTTTTAGTGCAGCTGCTGTTGCTAAAATGATGGCTAAAATGGGTTATCGAGATTGTTGAAAAAACAAGTAAACGTGGTGGCAAAATTGTACATGAAAAAGAATTCCCAAATAAAGGTAAATAATTAATTAAATCCAAAATAGATTATATCAATATATTTTTAGATACAATTTTACTTCCACCGTCACCACCTCCTCCTCCACCAACAATAGCATCTCCTTCCATTATTATTCCAAAAGGTGATTCCGGTATAAATATAGCTGATGAATTAAAAGGAGCAATGAAAGTTATTTTACTTAAAGTATGAATATATTTAAAAGAAAATTCAATGTATTTTATTATTTAATTTTCTTTTAAGAATATGGTTGGTCCTGGTGAAGTTGATGATTTACTTGATAGTAAAATTTTTTTTTCTAGTTTATTTCGAAGATATTTTAATTTTTGTTTGATTTTTAAGGTGAAACAAAAGAAGAATGTCAAAAATATGGTGAAGTTGACAAATGTCTTATATATGAAGTATGTATATGAAAAAATTTGATATGTATTTCTTATTAAATTTTTTAATTTTAAAAGATTCCTGAAGCACCTGAAGATGAAGCTGTACGAATATTTGATGAATTTAAACGAGTTGAATCAGCTATTAAAGGTAAGTTATCTAATATCTAGTTGAATGGTTTCTTTCGATTGAAATTCTTTGGTATTGGGTTCGAATCTTCATTGAGGAAAATCTTTGCTATGATGATTTAAATGATAGGTATGATATAAAAATTCATGATTCCATATCATAGAGCCAAAAAATAACTGTCTGAGCAAAGATATATTGATATTTATTATTTTAATGAATTTTAGCTGTTGTCGCTATGAATGGACGATATTTTGGTGGACGTGTTGTTAAAGCAAAATTTTACAATTTTGATAAATTTCGTCAATTTGATTTGGCTGATGATTCTTGATAGAAAACAATCTTATCTCATATGTTTTATGTCTTTTGTACAGTTTATGTGATGATGTTTACAAACAGAAAAAAAAAAGAAATTGAGAAAACAAAAGTTTGAAGTTATTGTTTTTTTTGTCGTTTTCTTTTGTGTTTTCAGATTATGTCTGACGAAAATAAACAATCATTTAATCTTCAAGACGAATCAGATTTGAATATCATTGATAATGAAGTATTTCACACAGATGAAGAAGATAATGTAAAAAATCATGATAATCAATGGATTAATGAATTACGTTTAGCACTTGAACGTGGATGTGATCTAGGATCAGTGCGAACTATTGGAAAATGTCGACCATTAACAGATGACTTACGTTTAGCAGTTTGGAAAGTAAGAAACAAAAAAAAACGACTTCTCAGAGATTTTTGTATCGAATTTTGATCATATGAATGAACTGATAACTGAAGTGCTTCATATCTAAAACAAGTGTTTCACGTCGGGTTGAGTCGAGATCTGAAATGTTTCTGTTGACCGGATCCAGACTTGATGAACTCTAGCCATTTAATAGATGTGTAGGGTGCAGTAGTCACACAATATAAAAAGCTAGAAACAAAGTATTTCGTGTCACCTAAGTAGCTGTCCTATTCCGATTAGAAAATTTCATTGAGAGTATTAAAGCACGCTTCGACTGGATTCGGATTTTAGCTAATTGGTAGAAATCCAAGGTGTATGTTGGTAACTGTAGGAAGACTTTCACAAGCTGTTTCAATGTAACCGATAGGAATTTTTTTAATTCATATATAATTCACAGTCGACTGGACGAAAGTTTTTTCTCAATAAGAAATGTTTATTCTATTTTGTTTATATTAGACTTGTCTTGATATTAATGATGTTAATGAATATGATTATATTGATAGTGATGTATTTGATTTACCTGAACAAAATCTAATACGTGAAGATGTTTTACGCTTAGTGCGTAGGTGTAAAATATATTAACTAATTCATTAAATGAAATATGTACAATATTCTAGGTTCATTAAAAATCAATCAAGATGTTGAAGCATCAAAAATAAGTGATATTGAAGCAATTATAACATTCTATTGCAAAAAATAGTATAGAAATTTACAAAGATTCTTTTTTTTTGTATCATTAATTGATTTATTTAGTAATGAAAATTATGAAAAAGGAAATGGATGGATTGATATATTAAAACCATTGATTATACTTGAATATAAAGATCGAGCTGAACTTTATGCATTATTTGCTAATATTCGTAATCGTTATATTCCTCGGTATGAAATTATTTTTTTATTATAAAGCTCATTTCGCATTGAAGTTGTTTTTTTTAAAGGTTTTGTGAAGCTGATGGAACGCCATATCATTTATTACGATTATTATTACTTTATCATGATCCAGAATTATGTAGCTTTTTTGATACTAAAAAAATTACGCCAGATTCATATGCACATATTTGGGTATGAATCATAAAGAACGGGTTACGATAAAGGTGTTTCTATTTTCGGTTGAAAGCGTACCAGAGGATTGTTAAAAATATCTCTTGTGATTTAGCTTCACACGAAAAGAAGATTTGTGAAACAAAAAACAACTGTGATTAATTTAAGAACACTCCTAATAATCGTTTGGTACACTTTTAATCGAAAAATAAACGGCCTTATTGTAGACGATCTTTTAGTTGTTAATAAATTATTTTCCTTTTTGTTGTGTAGGTTCGAAGTTTGTATGCTGGATCATGTTCATTAGATGTTACACTTCATCTTTGGGATGGATATTTTCAACATGCCGATCAATTTTTTATTTTTTTTCTTGCTCTTGTATTACTTATGTTTGCTAAGTAAGAAATGAATTTATTTTTATAAGAGATTTTTTTTATAAAAAAAATTTTTAGAGAACAAAT